CCGTTGATGTATTTTTTTTTTTCACTTTCCATTACATTGTCATTTTTTAGTTTTACAAAAAAAAACTAAATAAATAAATAAATAAATACATGGCGAGTTTTTTGAAGTTTTTAGACATTTAATAAAATATGATATTACAATAAATTCTAAATAAAATTTACATATTTATATTTTGTTAACGTAATAATAATAAAAATAATGAATTATATTACGATGTTTAATGGGCCAAGTAATCCTATCGGTAGGCTGGATGGGATATCAGCCTCAAAGACCATTACTTAGTGAAGAATTAGGCCCATTTCATTAGTTATAGTTTTATAGTTAGATTGTTAGATTATATGATTGAAAATTATTTTAAAATTTGAAAACAAAATTATAAAATGATAAAAATAAAGTTACATAATTTTAATTTAGTCCACTTAAGAGCACACAACTTATTGTTCATCATCATTCAATTATGATTTATTTATGGTGGTTGATTATAATTTTTTTTTATCATTATCATTTTGTTATTTTGATCTTCATCAACTTCATCAATTTTATATGTCTACAGCATTAAGACACATTAATTCACACTATCATTTATAAGTATGAAGTTGTCATCATTATAAGCATCAATGATTGCTCACTTTGTCTTGGACAGTTGCCAATAATGTTGAGGCAAACCATTGCAATAATTTTAATATATGTTGTCGACATTAACTCTGATTACTAACATTATAATCAATATTTATGCTAGACTTATGAATCTCTCGCCGTAAACTAAAATAATATTTATTAAGCATGAATCAAATGTCACAATATTCTTTTTATTTATATTGAAAAATTCATTTATATAATTTGTGATAGTTTTTTTTCATGAGTATTTTTAAACATATCACCCAATTTCTATGTGTGTGTGTGTGTCTAATATGCATATGACATCTAAACTTTATATTTTACATTTATACCAAAACTCAACCTTTCATATAACACTTTTTCATGCTTGAGCAGAATGGTGTATATGTTACGTGCCGGAAGATTTGAGACAATAGAGTAATAATTTAAAATCTTGATGCTAGACAAAGATCCAATACACACACAAATATAAAAGAGAAATAAGCATGAGGAGACACCACAATTTTCACATGAAAAACCCTTGAAAGGGGGAAAAAAGTCATTAGGTCAGGCACATTTGAAATAATTCACTATATAATTGTAAGTACATTAGCTCGGTCACATCTTGAATCAAAGAATATAGAATTATAATGTTAACAAACAGTGGTAGTTTGACATTTGGCACATTTGAAATAATTCACTATATAATTGAAAGTATATTAGCTCGGTCACATCTTGAATCAAAGAATATAAAATTATAATGTTAACAAACAGTGGTAGTTTGACATTATTAGCTGTAACGAATCCTAATGGTTGTAATAGATTGCTATGAAAGAGATAGCCCACCATTAATGTTGTAGACGGTGGTTATAACATTGGCTTGTTGTAGAGGAAATATTTGAAAGTCATTGTAATAGTTGGTCGTGTAGATCATAGATGGTTACTTCAGGAGCATCGGTTGACCATAGAGATTGTAGTAGGGAGCTACAAGAGTTATGAATCATGTAGGCCACAGTTGGTCACATTGGTTGTAACAGTTAGCTACAATAACATCCATATGCAGCTGATGTTGGAGTTAGGACCCGCATTGGTTGTGAGCTACATATGACATATTTGGTCACATAGATCGTAGTGGTGAGCTATAACAATATTTTAAGACAACAAAATATCAGAGTTGAGAGTTGCACGAGCTGTGATGACATTCATAGGCCACATAAACAGGAATTTAGAGTTACATAAGGTGTGAACCACAAAGATAGTAGTTTATCACATGGATTGTAGTAAAGACATGCAGTAACATATATAGGCGACAGAGGTTGAAGTTGAGAGTTGCATGATTTGTGAACCACGTAGGTCGCAGTTGGAGACATAAGACGTAATGGTGAGAGGCAGTGACATTTATAGGCCAAATATGTCATAATTGAGAGTTGTATGAGATGTGATAAAGTTTGAGGGCCGTAGATATTGAGGTTGGGAGCTGCGTGAGTTATGGATCACATTGGTCATAGTTTCTCACATATCCCTAGTGAAGGATGCAATAATGTCTATAAGCTAGAGAGGTTAGAGTTGATAACTCGTGAGCAGTGTGGATCACACAGGTCGCAGTGATGAGCTATAATAACATCAGTAGGCCTCAGAGGTCAGAGTTTAGAGTAGTTTGAGTAATGATAATGTCCTTAAATCACATTAATCAAAATTGGAATCTAAAATAGTTATGATAGCATCCGCAGGACACAGAGGCTGGAGTGGGAGTCGCATGAGATATGTATGACATAATCGTGGGCTGCAACAAAGAGTTTCGTAAGTCTAAAGAAAGTCACTGTATCATGAGTACAATAGTTATACGTAGTTTTTGTGTAAGACATTATTACATCATCAACGGGAAGCGTTATTGCATCATATGCATGGCTCGCCGTTGCACATTATTTTAGGTGCATTATTACACCATCATCGAGGTGCGTCATTATAATGTCTTTAAGGTGTTAGTCGCACCATATATGAGGGGCACTAGCTCGATCCGTAGTTACGCTGTTATTTAGTTTCCTGGAAAAAAACTTGACCCAGTTTCTTTAGGCAGCTAGTTTGCAAAATTGATATGTTATAGAGTATAGAATTTGATTCATTATTTACACACTAGGGGTTCTACAAAGGTATAGACATTGTTCAAGGAATATAGAACTCTAATGAAATCTTGTTTATCGATCCCAGAAGAAAGCGAGGTAAGAAATCCCTTAGGTTATAGTCTACCATTACAGGTCTTAATTTGGAATATCCTTAGGTTAAGTTATAGTCTACCATTACAGGTCTTAATTTGGAATATCGATTAAGGGTGTTTTTTTAACAAGTACTCTTAAATACAAACCTAAATCTAAAGTTAACCTAACTAGATAAATTATTTTGGTAAATTTTGAGGTGTTAAAACTGCCTTTTTCTCGTGGTGGCCTAAACAATGTTTAGGAATGAGATGTTTAAAATCTAATGTGGGCAGTGACAATATGAGCAAAAATCTAAGTTACCTTCTTTCGAGTGTAAAACATAACTCTGTTAACCGAGGGTTGATTCTTTAAAATAACGAGATTATCACGACAAAACTTCTAGCCTATCACCCTAGAGTCTCCTTCTTTTAATAGCACTCTAATTAGCTTAATCTTAGATTTAAGGTACGAAGCTTGGGATTAAATTGATTAGAAATCTAGCTTGTTACCCTGGAAACACCAATTTGAACCCATCAACGAATATCTCCCTAACATTGCATTGAATCTTATGACGACTTTTTCTTTACCCATAAGTTCAATGTGGTTCTTCCTAGTTGTTAAAGTCATAGCCCTCCTGGAATTTATGCGTTTACAATTAGTTTTAACAAACCAATTGACCAAATTGATTAGTAAATGAAACATGAAGTAAGAACCATCACTATGATATGAAAAACCTATTTAAACATTTATCCTAACGTCCTAAACATTTATCAAATTCATTACAGAAAAAAAGGTACAAGAATTCTACTTCACAAAGCAGATGTCACACACAACAGAAAACTTCATTGAATCAAATCAAATCCACTAGATAAGTGCTTATAACAAGTACAAGATAATGAAGAACACAATGCTTAGGTTTTTTCATCTGAAGGAAATTTTAAAATCCCTCCAACAAAGTCTCTTGTTAATCCATGCAATGGTTATACAATCACTTACATTTATCTCTCAAAATTCTCTCACCAATCTCTAAAGAAAATGTAAAAATCTACATTTTCTACTCTTATTTACGATCTCGTGACCTTTCTGGAGAATTCCATGACTTTATTAGTTACTCCAAAATCGTAGCCACCATGAGACCTTTCTGGAGAATTCCATGACTTTATTAATTACTCCAAAATCGTAGCCACCATGAGTATTTTTGAAGTCTTCTACCACTCTACCGTCATATCCATTTAAATCTCCTCCAATAAAAATTCTTTCTTCAAGAGGTATCATTCGTATTAAGTCTTCTAAGTCATTCAAAAAAATATCTTTAAACTCTGTATCTAAACCTACTTGAGGAGCATAAACACTTATAATATTAAAAATCTTAGTATTAATGATAATCTTAAGGACTATAATTCCATCTCCAACTCTAATAATTTTTACAACATTATCTTTCAAACTCTTATCTTTAATTTCATTTATACCATTTCTAGTGCAACTCTTACCAAAATACTAAAGTTTAAAACCTAAATTATCAATCTTCTTAGCCTTTTATCCAACCCATTTAGTTTCATGACTACATAAGATATTAATTTTCCTATGAATTATAATAACAACTAATTCCATTAATTTACCATTGAGAGTACATATATTTCAATATCCTATCATAATATTAGTTTCATTGGCTTCATGGACCAACTTTTTTATCCGCATTCGTCCGTAATGTGGGAACCCTTGCTTATTTGACACAATACTCGGGGCGCCGGTATAGCTGTCATTGCATACTTTTCATTTTATTCATGCTATACAGCGCGTCGCTTCTACGGGACACCCTAACACTTATACAATGAATTTAATCTAAATTTAGCTAAATTTAATCTAAATTCAAATTTAATAATATTTAGATTTGATAATTTATAAAACTCTTTTTAACTTAAATTTTATTTGAAGCCACACTCATTAAAAAGTTTCCATACAATTTCCTTCATGCATGTTTATTAATAAATAAATATTTAAATAACCGCGCAGCACTGATACGTATTATTGTCGTATCATGTCCTAGAAGTCTACGCACAAAACTTTTAACATATTGTAGATGTGATGAATCGGAACCCTTCATCTCTTTTATAACCAACGGTTTTTATCATACCAGCTCAGCAATCCGCGTTTAATATTTCAACCAATCCAAACTAATTCCTCTCCTATATAAACATTCTCGTGAGTTTCAGCTTCCATCTCCTCCTAGCTCAATTTCTCCTTCCGCTTCAAACCCTAACAGCCCTTTCTCTCTCGATCACTTTCCCAATGGCACCGAAGGCCGAGAAGAAGCTAGCGGAGAAGAAGCCCGCTGCCGAGAAGAAGCCGGCGACTGAGGAGAAAAAGGCGACGGAGGAAAAGAAACCAGTTGCAGAGAAAGCTCCGGCCGAGAAGAAGCCGAAGGCGGAGAAGCGAATTCCCCCCAAAGATAGCGGCGACAAGAAGAAGAAGAAAAAGTCGAAGAAGTCGACGGAGACGTACAAGATCTACATCTTCAAGGTGTTGAAGCAGGTGCACCCTGATATCGGTATCTCAAGCAAGGCGATGAGCATCATGAACTCGTTCATCAACGATATCTTTGAGAAGCTTGCGCAGGAGTCCTCACGCCTTGCTCGATACACTAAGAAGCCAACCATCACTTCCCGCGAGATCCAGACTTCCGTTCGTTTGGTTCTTCCCGGAGAGCTTGCAAAACATGCGGTGTCGGAGGGCACTAAGGCGGTTACCAAGTTCACTAGCTCTTAGATTTAGGATTAGGATGGTTTGCCTTTTGTGGCTTAATTGTGTTTGTGCCTGATTTCTGCGGTTTTATTTCTAATGTGTGTTTACTCTATTTTACTTTCTTTTGTTTGTTATCTTTATTGCATTTGTAGATGGATTCGGCTGCTCGAATTTTCTGCATGGTGCATTGAATTAGGGTTGTATAGATCTCGTGTTTTTCTTCGAAGAAAAATATGAATGTTTCTTTCTTGGTTGAAATATTTATGACTCAATATAAAGACACGCTGGACCAATTTACATGCGTTTTGAAATACGACAGTGGAAGTTACGAATCGCTGACCTAGAAAACACCAGGCCATGGAAATCGTGAAAGAAGCTTGGCGCTTGCACCAGTCAGTCTGAGAAATGAAGCTAGATTTTCTTTTTTAGGTTCTGTTTGGCCATGAATTTAGTTTAAATCTGTTTAAAATATGTAAGATTTGATGTCTGAATTTGCTAAAACAATGAATTAATTGGGGTTCATCAGGATTCTTAGGTGCATATTGAAGTATTCCAAGGTGATTCTCCTTGTTTTAGACAATATTTTGCCTCAATTCCGTCTGATAAATCTATTGTTGTTTTGATCCAAATTGCGATTTTTTCAATCCCATTTTGTTAAAAGATAGTACTTTATGCTGGGAAATTTTCAAAACCAACTATATCATAAATACCTTGCTTTTAATTTGCATCTAGACTAAATATCACAATTTGACATGAAATGCAATTTTGATTTGATGTAAGTGTGTTCGCTTAATAATTTGTCATTTGATTTGTAATTAATTAATTCCCAGATTTATACTTCGTGCAATTTTTTTGCCTACTTGTATTAGGTGCTTTTTATATACAAGCAGGTACGGCCGGCACTCCTTGTTTATTTCTTATCTGATTGTTGACTTGTAAGGAGATATATTAATCTGTTGGATTGCACACTTGTTTTATTTTTTTTTAATATTTTTGGGTCGGTATGTTTCAAGTACATAATATTTTGGGAGCAAATACTCAACTATCAGGCCACTATTTTATTCAATCATTAGTTTTAGACTTTTTTGTAGAGTTTTATCCGTTGTTTTATGCTCCTCTTTGGTTTGGTTGGTCTTCCTCTTGTGTGGTTGTTAATAGTGGCTCTGGTTTTTCTCCTTCAGTTGTTAGCTTGTTTCACCTTGTTTGATCTGTGCTGCTTCTTTTTGGAGCAATGCTGAAGAGTCTCTTATTCGATTTCTACTTTTGTTTAAGTATTCTTCGTGTATGAACAATATTACTCTTGTTTATTTTCTTTTCCTTTTTGTCGTTCCAAGGTTGAGCTAAGATGTCATCAAGCCATGTATTAAATTTCAACTTCATCTTGGAAGAAAAAAATATTAAAATTCGCAGCTTTCTTTTGTTGATCTAAGGCTCCTGTCTCTTGTTGTTCTATCTCTTCTACTCTTCCTTGGCCTCTTGTCTTTTGTGATTGCTGTTCTTGTTCTTTGCTGACCAGAGTTTAAGGTTGCGGCTCCTCGATCTGTTTTGGAGTAAGAAATAGTTGGTTTGCGATTGCTCCTCAAAGGTATGGCTGTTAGCTGCTGTTGGATGCTAATTATGTTGCCATCTATGGTGTTTTGCTTTAAGTTTCTATTTCTTATATCATATTTCTTTGGTTGTTTCATTTTAAGGTTTTGATTTTGTTTGGTTAGTTTTGTTTGTTATTGTCAGGGCTGTGGTCATGTTAGTTGGGGTTGTAATGTGTGTTTGTCAAATTATACTGTTTTTAGTTATTTTTATGCCTAAGATGCTTTATTGTTGTGATCATGAGAAAATTTAATCAATCACACATGTATCTTGTTGTAATTTTTGAATTTGAAATCATTAGAGTTAAATTTAAATAAATTTCTAGTTTTGAGACGTTTTAAATGATGTCAAAAGTAATAACACTTTAAAAGAGATTTTTACTTATCAATCATCGAAAACTTTAAATATAATTGATTAATCACCTAAACTTTAAATTTTATATTTCAACCACCAAAAAAGTCACCCAAAATTTTAAATGAAATAAATTGAAGACTCATTTTTGAAAAGAAAATAATATTTTGGGTGTTTGGAATATAAGTTCGAAGTTTTGGGAGATTGGTATGTAAAAGTTGATAAAATCATGCATTTAAAATGTCATTAAAGTTTCTGAATATTAATTGAATGATCAAATAATTTCTTAGTTTTATATATTCATCATAAAATTGAGTGTCATGGTGAGGGTTATTATTTTATTATGATTTCAGTTTCCATATCATTAGGAGTTTAAAAATAAAATAATTTATTATAATCAAATAAATGAATATTAACCGTTCAGTTGTGTTTAAAATGTATTAATATTTACCAAAATATTTTTTTCCAAAAAATATAGTTTTATTTTGAGGGGAGGAATCATTTTTTTTTTATGGAGGGCAAATTGCTACTTAAATCAAATGTGAGAGGGACTAGGTCAATGAAGAATATAATGATGTTTTAGGCAGGGGAAAAATGATACTTGTAGAGGGACAAAAGATTAAATTGTCTTATCATATAAGTGAAAATTTAATCTCAGAGTTGGTAATTCCTCTCTATATGCTATGTGGGTCCGCATCTTGCTTATTATCTACATCTAAAGTGCCTTGAAACTTAAAATCAACCACTTAGAGAGATGAATGACATCAACTTTATTACACAATAATATTTAAAAATAATATGATGTATTAGTAAATATTTAAGTGTTAATGACGCTATACTAATGAATATATTGTTAATCCATTTGAAGCGTAGAGTATTGTATTGTTTATGAGTGCGTAGAGAGAGAGAGAGAGAGAGAGAGAGAGAGAGAGAGAGGAAACTTACGAAATATATTAATAAACCCTAAATGTATAAAATTTTTATCGGTGATTAGCTATAAAAGTGAGGTTCCTTGAGTTGCAAAATTTTAGAGGAGGGGGGAGAGATAGAGAGAGACCCCCCATTTCATTTTCACTTCTTTTTATACACCCGAGTGAGGTTCCTTGAGTTGCAAAATTTTAGCGGGGGGAGAGATAGAGAGAGGCCCCCCATTTCATTTTCACTTCTTTTTATACACCCGTGATAAAAACTAAAATAATCGATGTGACACATGTCATACTGCTCGACGTCCTTTCTTGATGTCTTGATGAAAATACCGCGTTGTGCTTGTCAGATGTTGTTGGTACAACACACATCCCTGGTGCCTAGGCGAATAGATCGAGTCTTAAATGGTGAACAATGTTTTTAATAATGAATTGATAGATGTTCTTATTAGTCATGATGACTTTCTACAATAGTTGTCATCGCACAGGTGGGTTAAAATATTTTTTTAAGGGCAGTGAATATAATCAGACTAACATATGAGTTTGATTCAACCACTTCGACATATGTGGGCTCGATTCAATCACTTCGGCAGATGAGCTTGATTTAGTCATTTTTGCACGTGGGCTCAATTCAACCACTCTGATAGATATACCCGGTTCAACCACATGGGTAGGTGGACTCGGTTCAACCACTTTAGTAAGTTGGCTCAGTCCAACTACTTTGGTAGGAGAGCTCATTTCAACCACTTCAATATGTGAGTCCAGTTTCACTACTTCGGCATGTGGACTCTATTTAATAAGTTGAGCAAAAAAAATTTTTCGTAAAGCCATATTCACACAAACATAAATAAATAATTTTATATATTGGGGCTTTCCTTCTTTTTGACCATTCAATTCAGTGAATGTATTATTTATGCTTTTAATTTAAGATAAACTTATTAGTCAACTCAATCCCTTGTCATATATGTATGTATGTATGTATAAAATTATATTGTTCAGCCTGCGAGGATGGCTGCGAAAACAATGGCAGTTAATATGAGGAGCGTCGCATTTGTTGCGTCCAACTGAAGTTGGGTGAAGAAAGTCTCTCGTTAATCCAGGCGCCACACAACAAAAACCCTAGTGCAAGCTATCCTCTCCTTTCTCAGGAGATACCGTCCATTTTCAGGTGCACTTCACCGTCATTTCCCTCTTCTTCCCCATTCAGAATGCACCGTGGCGATCTTAGCTGAACCCGCCATCTCTCATTGGAAGCGCTGCGGGTCAACCTTCTTCTGGGATTTGTGGATCTTCGCTGCCTTCTAGTGGCGATCTTATTCCATAGACTCATTCTCTGGGATCATTCTGACTCGCCGTCCTATCCATCGAAGTTGAATTTTTTTTCTTGGTATGCATTTTCCTCTGTTATTGCATATCCCTCGCCATTTTAGATTTTGGATGTTTATTCCGAAATCTTTGATTTCTGCTCTTCTTGAATGCATGCCGGCTTTGTACTTCTTTCTAGACGGAATAGGAATTTTTGGTTTGATCGTCTGGCCGGATGAGCTTGTAGTTGTGGTCATTTTAGTTTAGTATATATGGTCAACTTGTCTCATTAGTAGTTTCTTTACATTGCTTTGATCCAAGAATTATCAATGAAGCTTTTCATCACTGTTTTAAACTGAAATAGTATGTTATCAAGTTCGAATAGGCATATCTTTAAAGAAGAGCTATCCGTCAAGTAGTTATTTGCTTTCGTGATCTTCTTTTGGAACTTGCTTTATGCAGTTAGTTATATGACAACCGGTTCACATTGCTGTATTTTAAATTACAGCAACTTCGTCTTTCAAACAAGATCCTTCGTTAATTTGGGTTTTGAATATTTGGACAACATAAATCTCCAATTATATCTCCCTTGTCATGCCAAGCAGATTTATTTTGTCGTCTATTCCATTTTTGTCCCCCCTGCTGTCTTCTTTACTCTCATCCTATGCATATCAGGGGCCACAACTAGAACTGCTTGTAATTAAAGTCAGTTTCGACAATCATGCACATTGTCCCTTGCTTTAGAGATTTTTTGCCGGTCATTTTAATTTTTCTCGGATTTATCCTTTACTTTCTCTTAAGCTTCATACTTTTTTACTTAAGTTCAAAGCTTTATCAACATTAGTATTAATATATTTATTGGTTAGAGCTTTGTTTGTTGTTTTAGCTTGTGAGGTTTGGTAACGTGCTCTTTCATTTTCAGTTCCTAGGTCTTGACTTTGCCAAACTTCAGGATATGGTCATTGAACTCTAGTTTGTACCTGCAATCAAGAACTGTATGTTTACGCAGGCCGGACGCTTTTCTGATGGAGAAGAGAGTGGTATATGTTAACATTTTTTTTCTATCAGATGTTAGTTCATGTAGCTGGTGAAAATTGGAACACTCTCTCTGACCATATCAAGCAAGCAAAATGATCACTAAGCATGTTTTGTTGACTTATATTTACTTGCTCATTTACATATGTCTCTCATCCGGCGTTATTCTATACAACAAGGTATCATTTTGTACACAGAGCTATGTTTTGATACTTTAACCTTTTCTATTTGCAGCTCAAAAATGTTAATAAGATATATAATGAGATCTTAAAGTATTTATTCTTTTCCATCTTGCAGTGGGTTCTCTCTCCAAAGTATTTCAAGTTCCCCTTTCCTATAACACTTACTATGATTCATATGGGATTTTCTGCTTTAGTAGCTATTATTCTTGTTCGTGTTTTGAAGGTATGTTTCCTTAAATATTTGGCACTTTATTCTCATTGACACTGATCCCTTGGTTTCTGCTCAACTTATTCTCCTAGCTTCTGGTCTTTGTTTGCTTAGCTGTGAGACTAGTCAATTTTTATTCTTAACCACTTCTTGAGATGATCTTGTTAATTTTTTTGCTTAGTATTTTGAGCTTTCCTAAACAAAAAATGGCCTAGTACTAAATTGAGTTGGTTCAAACATACGAATATAACATGTTAGCTGGCCTTGTTGAACTTGGTATTTTTGGCTTGTTTCTTTAGGTTGTTTATCAATCTCTTGTTGATTTTTTTACTATATATATATATATATATATAGAGAGAGAGAGAGAGAGAGAGAGAGAGAGAGAGAGAGAGAGAGAGCAAATGATTCTATTAATAAATGATCATAATCTATCAATTTCAAAATATAATCAATTTCAAATATAATCCCAATCGGTCATTGCCTTCAACCAACATTAAATCTTTATATTTGAATTCTGGGTGTTGCATGGAATTCTAGGAGTTAGAATACAAAGTATAAGATTACTTTTATGATTGTATAATAATCAGATCATGCATGAATGAAGCATACGAGAATACTAATATTTAACATTGGCTTTGCATAACTTCCCTTAAATAAATATAATATAATTCCTTTTTTAGAGTATTGCATCTAGAGCTCTCTTTGGAGTCTCTTTATAACCATGTGATTATTTTTAATAAGCCAAGTTGTATGAATTTTGATCATATAAACTTCTCCAAATACCAATTTTATTTTCCTTAACTCTCTCTCTCTCTCTCTCTCTCTCTTTCTCTCTCTCTGACACACACACACAATTTGGACAAATAATTTGGGTTTTTTTAACTATATATAATTTGGGTATTTTAACTGTTCAAGCTTGTAAGTTGAGTATTTCGAAGGGAATTTCAGTTGATCTAGCAACATAATTTGGGTAGCTTTCACTGAACATTCTTGCTATGAACTTTCATTTTTAAATTGCCTACAATGAATTAATAGAGAGTATCTTATTTATTGTTTATTGATCAACTAGTTAGTATTCAATTATTTATTTGATAGGAATCAAAGGAGTTTTTACAAAGAAATTTGGAAAAAACAAAATATTTTATTCCTTCGATACCAAATCAAAGAAATACCATTCCAAAATACATAAAAGATAAGCACAAAATTTGAGAGATAGGTGATTTCTCCCAAACCCTAACTCTTAACGCCTGTAATTCTTGAGGCAGGCAATCTCTCCCAAATTCGTAAGAGGATTTTTTCAAAAAGAAATTAGGAAAAAATAAATATTTTATTCCGTTGGTACCAAATCAAAGCAATACAACTCCATATACATAAAATATAAGCACATGAAATTCGAGAGACAAGTTATCTCTCCTAAATCTTAGCTCTAACACTTACAATTCGTGAGTTAGGAAGTCTCTCCCAAAACCCTCAAGACTCAAGACAATAATTTCATCATAGCCCTAATCTTAGCATATTAATCCGATTTATACCCCACAATAATAAATAACAAAAGACTAAGCCCATAGGTACCAATCTAACATTACTCGCCTCCCAAAAAGACACACTGTTCTCAAGGTGGAAGAAAGAAAACATCTGCTAGATCTAGTCATATGACTCCCAACGTAGCGTCATTATCTGACAATTCTTTTATTTAATAAAAAAATCGTAGGGACCCTCATTAGTTCGAAATGCGGTCTTGTGCATATCATTTTGCCGTATCCAGAATCTAGTGGTACCTTGAAGTAGGTCAATCTGGGAGAACATCACATCTCTAAACAACTCATTTAGTAGCTCATCGTTCACCACAATCTCTGTAAACTCTCTATCACGTGTCTCTTCCATGCTATGCAACTCGATCAAGAATCCCAACCATGCTTTTCCAATTTACAACACCATAGTCTTGAGAATCACCAAAGTTTTTCACAAACTGGGGTCACCGTGAAACACTGCCATCTTATCTCTCTTTTGAATACCTTGCAGTATCAAAATCAAACCATTATAAACTCTTATGCTCTTTTCAAATTGTTTCGTTTCTATCATTACTTCTAAACCGCCTTCTGATTAGAAGGTTGCCATAGCAAAGGGCATTTGCGCGGTTGGATTCAGCCCTCCATTGGGGTCCCACCCACCCGTGATTTTTTGTTCCATGCCATAATTCTTTGAATCGATCTTCTCCAGCCCCGAATCATACGTTATTCCATTTTGCTTGCTGTCACTAGCTCCAATCGTCCAGATGTCGTGCGATTTCCTCCAGCTGCTACCGCTTGAATCCGGTTATGACTCCTTCACTCAATCTGCCTGCTTTCGTTTGTTCCAGATGTCTGAATGTCGCACTAGTCCTTCCAAGTGTTACCACTCGAGTTCGCTCCTGATTTTGTTACTCTATCCTGCGGGTCTAGATCCGCCTAAGGCAGCGAACATGTCCTGTTTCCTCACAAATCTTTCAAATTGTTGTCGCTTGTGTCCCCTCTAGATGCCATCACTTAATCCCGCGGCGTCTGGCATCGAGTTTGTGTCAAACTCCACGATCTTCTTCATAATTTTTTTTTTCAGGGTGGCAAATCCCCCCTTTATGGACAACAACGGCCTCTCCATGGATTAGAACCGCCCATCCATGGCCGAGAAATGCTCCTCTACATTAAAAAGGATATGGAAATACTCTATTGCAAATATGATATGATTAATCTCTCTCTTTAATTTCTTCTCTAAGGCATCTGCTTTCTTAGCTACCATTACTCACAGAAAGGTTTTGATCACGAAGGAGGAATTCCTTACCCTAAAATTCCATTGTTGGCTTCCTAGGTAGCCTGAATCACGAATGTACTCTGCAACTTGCACGCGGCAATCCTGCGGTTATTGCGCGGAAGGACTGTATGCTGCGATCCTGTAACTTCCCAGCTAGCTCAAATCTCAGTGTTTGCACGACCTGCACTTCCTTGCGTTTGGTATCGGCATCAATGCTTGTATGAGAGTAATTATTGTATTTATAAGATGATCTTTAGTAGGTAATAATATTTGCTTGAGGGTCTCTTTCATCTAATTACTGATGGGAGGATTGCTCAATTTATCGGCGTTGAGGGTCTCTTTCATCTTGCCCTAATTACTGATGGGAGGATTGCTCAATTTATCGGCCTGTCATGGGCTGTTGTTCAAATAATTTATATTATGGCTGGTGAGTCTCTTATGGGAAAATCTAATTTGCAATGTTTTAATTGTCGATCTTATTGAAGTACTGGCTTGATTACTTTTGAGCTAAGTTGATCATTGACAGTGGGTGGATTAATCTTAATTGTTCAACTAATTGACATCACAATTTTCAGAGCTCGGGTAGAATATTGACAATCCAAACCAAATAGTGATTTTTTGTAATGATGAGGATAAGGTACACGAGGATGGTGTGGAATGCTGCCAATATTTTTTAATAGAGATTTTCCATGTGATAGGTTGAATTATATGGTGGTTCGTACTTCTCATCTTAGTCACTATAACCATCAAGGTATGTAGCATGATGATGATGGTGGGCTTTAGCAAAGGGAGGAGTGTTTGGGTTAACAGCTTGACCTCTACCTTCCTCAGGTGGATGTTCATGGGTGGGGTTTGTTTCGAGGTTTCTTTTAAGCAAATTTTATGTTTTTAAGTCTTTCCCTCAACTTTTGATTGGCTTCTTATTGAACTAGGAGGGGGCTCTTCCGTTGGCTCATATTATCCTCATTTACTCAGGTTATAGACTTGATAATGTTGTTCACTTTGAGTTGCTTCTCAAAAATATTAAAAAAAAAATAATTAAGTATAACTTTTATGAGTACTCTTGATGTTGGTGTTTTTAAAGGTCTTTATGATTGAATCTGAGAAATTGGTCAACTATTAAGTTGTACATCTCGTCATTGTGATTGAAATTTGACTGATTATCCCTGAAAATCTGATTAAAAATTATAGAATATAGTAAAAAGTATAAAAAGAGGTGAAAAGATAGGAAATACATAAATTTGATGTAAGCAAATAATTTTCTTTTGGATGATATGTAAATGCAATGAAATTGAAAATACAACTATTCAAGTGAGACTGTGAGTATAGGTTCTAATGAAGTGGTGATTTGAAGTTCTTTAGTTATTTTTGCTGTTGTAGTATATAGAAATAGCATAATTGACGACGAAACGAAAAATATAACGAGAAAAATTTACACCAGAAAAGAACACAGATTTACGTGGTTCGACTAATTGCCTACATCCACGGAGTTGCAGAGGGTTTTACTAATGCTTTCGATAATTACAAGAGAAAACTCTCCTCTCCTCTCCTCTCTCCTCTCTCCTCTCTCTACACCGAAGAAAAAGAAAAAGGTACAAGAGAAAAAACCTATTTCTCTTCTGCCACAAGCCACCAAGAAGAAATCAAAGAAAACAATCTTCTTCTTCCCTCTGCCAAGCACAGAGAAACAATTAAGAGAGAGCACCGTGCGAAAAAACACATTTTTTCTGTCAGAGATTCCTTCTTTAAAGCACGCCAAAGCCCCGGAGAAATGCCTCTCGGATATCTTTCACCTGTAGCAGTTGATCAAACTGAAGAAGAAGAGAGGATTCGCGCGGCTCAAAGAGCGGGAAGGGTCAATTCGCGAAAACGGGAGAGAGAAAGGAGCAGTTCGCGAAAATGGGAGTGGGGGGTTGGGGGCGGTTACGGAAATATTTATTTTTTATTTGTTTTACGGGCTCCACACACTACATTTGCTATGCCACAAAACCTAACAACATGAAGTTCCCGAGGAAACTTGATTTGATATTAAATATGTAGGAGAAATGCAAGTCTAAGTAGTGTAATTTGCATAGAGCCCGTGTTGTTCACTAAAGAGCTAAGAAAAATATTACGAAGTTAATCATTTAAAATTTTGATGATTCAATTAACAAAGAACTACGATCTCTTTTAAATGATTATGTCAACATATCTAAAACTTTTAGACATGTAATATTAAGAAAGATACAACCACCATCACCATCACCACTATGATTTCTTTAAGTGTTTCTTTAAGTGACTATGTCAATAAATCTAAGACTTTTAGACATGTAAGATTAAAAAAGATACAACTTTGTCTCGCTAAGTGTGGTCAACTACATGAATCCTTCTTCTCCGTCGTGTCCCATTGAGTGTCATATTTTCATTTAATTCTAATAAATTATAATCATTTTTAATGCAACATGCCCATGTCTTTTTAGGTGTACGTCTTCCTTTCTCAATATAAATCAAATTTGAAAGATCTACTATCCTATTTGAGTCCTGAGATGGTGGACACATTAGTTTTTTGACAAAGTTTTTTATGTTATTTGTCACTACCTAATGCAACATTTCACTTTTTGCATTTGGGACTTGTGACCTGACAATGGAGTTTAATATTTGCATGAGCTAAGTGTGGATAATTGAAGTCAACCTCCATGAGTAGCTTTTTATTTTATAGATTTACCTCTTCAGAATTCCTTCAATAGGGGCACAGACTCAAACTCAAAAAGTCCTTCGGTTGGTTGGAGAACACAAATAGTAGACCAAAATTGCAATATATTTTTTCATTATTTTTCATCAAATGATAGATTTATATATAACTTGAGGTGAGATGACAGAGGAGCTTTACCCATTGTGCATGAGATTTGTTGTGATCGTAGAATCGATCCAGTGATGTGGGATTTTGCAGGCTCGCAGAAAATCTCGCGATCGCGGGTTATCGAAGAGTGCTGATTGGTTTCTTATTCCAACCCAATTTTCTTTCTTTTTTGATTTTTTCTGTTTCTCTATATTCAATTAGGTTATTTTCAATTAGGGAACATTTGCATATGTCTATTGGGCTATTTGAGTTTTTCAGTTATATTGATTTTATGAAGTGACATGTTTCTCTAGATTTGCTATTCAAAGTGTTGTATATCTTCTTTTTGTAAGCGGTGTATTTATATCTTGCTTAGAATGTGTTGGAATCTCCTCATTACTCGTACCTCTTTGTACCTTTGTTCGATTGCTGCCATTGTTACGAACATCAGCCGATCACACGAATCTACTGTCCCATAGCAAATTTTGTTTTTATCTCCTTCCAAACGCTGCTGAACTTGCATACATCCTTCCTTTGCTATTCTGTAACCTCCTCCCCCCAAAATTCACTCTAAAAATACCTTCTAGAAGCTCTAAAATAATATCATTTGGTATCAAAGTTCGACAAACAACAAATTTTTAGTGATTATCTAAAATTCCAATAAAAGAATTTCCACCATACGCTCAAAATTCAACATTTCTACATCCACCAAAAATTCAGTCGACACCTTTCACCAACACTCTAAACTTTGACCAACATTTTTTATACAACCCTATACCATCGAAACTTTGAACGAGAGAATGAAATAATTCCTCGTAGGAGAAATATGCAAAGAGGTGTCCATGAGCTTACTATGGAGGATATGCAGTGAGAAATTCTTCAAAAGTAATGGAGGCTTGTCAATGGAGAATACGCAGTAGGATATGCTCATTAAACTTCACTACCTGCGCCAGTGAGATTCTTCTATGGAGGAGTACACAATTTAATTTGATCAACTCATACTGAAATATGGGTTTGTGGAACCAAAGGAGCACGCAATAGCGATGTATCTTGAATGACCGAGGTCGTCTATTACGAATGTAGTGTAATTGCAGTTGTATAAGCCCAACCGAGTACAAGAAGTAGTAGAAACATGTTACAAATTCAATCACTCGAGGCTTGACTCGTGAGAATACTCATGTATATGTAGCTCCAACTTTGGTTGTGCCAAGAAAGGATGATTTTTTATTCTATCTGGACTTACTTTGGGATAAATTATTTATTGTAGAGCTGCATGGAATGAGCATGAGTGTAGAGTTTATAGTGATACTGCATCAGACACAAGGTGATGACTTTGTTATGGTGGCGGTTGATCGATTCCAGAAGCCTATAGAGAATAAGAAGAAGCCTTTCCTATTCTAGGAAAATGTAACATGAGCTTTACCCATAGCATGTGGAATTTGCTATGGATAGAGAGATTCCGCATGGGTCCTAGAATCAATCCCGTGTCATGGGATTCCCCGTGGTCGCTGAAAATCCCGCGATCGCTGGTGATCGAAGAGGGCCGCCCGGTTTCCTATTCCATCCCGATTTTCCTTTTTTTTTTAATTTTTCTGTCTCTATTTTTATTTAGGTTATATTCTGTTAGGGAACATTTATATATGTGTATTAAGCTGTTTGAGTTTTTCAGTTTTTCTGATTTTTTGAATTGAGGCGTTTCCTTGGATTTTGCTCTTCATAGTTTTGTATCCTCTCAGTTTTGCAAGTGTTGAGTCTGTATCTTGCTTAGGAATAGGTGGTGGAACCGCCTTGCCACCCATACCTCACCATACCTCCGTTCGACCGCTAACATCAGTCCGGACAGCAGCCGAACTGCACAAGTTTGTTGTCCCATAGCAAGTTTGTTGTTATCTCCTGCCAAATACTGCTGACATCACATATATCCTTCCTTTGCTATTCCACAACCACCTCTCTGCTACTTTCACTCCCAAAATACCTTCTAGGAGTCCTAGAATGGTATCAGGAGGTATATATAGTATGGCCAAGGGAACTCAAACCATAGACAAGGGGGTTTCTGGCGATGGCTGGAAATGGGAGACATAAAGATTTGTGGATTTTGAAGTCTTATTAGGATTTCAAGGGTTTAATAGAATATTTTCCATTTTAATATGCTTAATTAGGGAGAATTCAAGGAGTTTTCATAAAAGAGAGGAGAGAGGAAATTTAAGCCAAGTGGGAGACTGAAAAGGTGGTGGGAGATGCGGTGTCACGATCAAGAGTGGTGTGGATGTCAACCAGTGAGATGGAGGTCAAATGACTGTCCCAGGATGATAAAAATAGGCTCAAATGACCATGATCTTGCTTGGGTTCCACCATCACTAAATACAGAAGGCCCAAATGATTCGAGGCACTAGTACAAACATGATATTTACCCAACAAATACATCACAAGACTTGATAGGATCCAATGACCCATAACACACGAGGGTTAATGATGAAAATACAGCAAAATAGGAGAAAACACATCACATAATATCTTATGTATAGTCAGTTATACGTGTTCTGAGTTGAGAATCTCAGCAAGTTTGTGCGCATTGAATTCTGCTGAATTCTTCTCTGAATTGATGATTAAAATCTTAAAAAGTGGAAGCATCTTTTTTGATCAAGATTGCTCATACGGTTACACATTTTTTTTTTTTTGGTTGCAATTTTTACCATGATATTTTCTGCAGTTAAGACGAGCTCATGTTCTGATATTCCATTGGTTGCACAATATGATATCTTCTATAAACCGTTCAATTTGCATCAAGGAAATTATATTTGTGCTACGCTATATATTGAAAAGTAGGATTTCACTTGTTACTATAAATTTGAATTTATCTTTTCATTTTGATGCTACAGATTGCTGCACCAGTCAATATGACATTTCAGATGTGAGGAAATCGCCCATCGTACATTCCCTGCTGTTTTTTTTTAATTATTATTTTTTTTTATATTTGGATTTTTTGTGCCTTTTGCAGATATGCAACGTGTGTGATACCTATCAGTGCTTTCTTTGCATCCAGCCTATGGTAAGCATATGGAATGGTTTCATGTAAATGTTTATAGAAAGAGTGGTGGATCTTGATTAAAATTAGTTTTTCTTAGTATTGATTAGAATAAGGTTTTAACATGTCAGGTTTGGTAACACTGCATATTTACATATTTCGGTTGCCTTCATTCAAATGCTGAAAGCCCTGAGTAAGTCAATCTTTCTATTGCATTTTACTGTAGTTGTAGACATGGATGACTAGTATTTAAAACAGATTGTCTTGCAGTGCCTGTAGCAACGTTCCTTGTGGCTGTTGTTTGCGGCACAGACAAGTTAAGGTGTGATCTGTTCTTGAATATGCTGCTGGTCAGCGTTGGAGTTGTGATTTCATCCTATGGAGAAATTCATTTCAACATTATTGGGACAGCTTACCAGGTTACTGGTATATTTGCGGAAGCTCTTCGACTGGTCTTAACTCAAGTCCTACTCCAGAAAAAGGGCTTGACTCTAAATCCCATCACTAGCCTTTACTACATTGCACCATGCAGGTACCGTCCAGATTCCAAAAGAGGCTCTATATTAATGTTTTCCTGATTGGATTTATGACTACCTGCCCTACTCGTTATACTTTTTTGAACGAAATGGCAAGAAACTTCACAAATTGCTCCAATAAATCGATCAATGTTGAGGTTTTTTGAGATAAGATTTTGATAATTTTGTTATTACCTTTCCAAAGTTTCAAAAATGTATTTGCTTTTCCTTATCATTTGTTTGAAATTTGTATTTTTAATTAAACCATTAATGCCATGTTGGATTTTGCATTTCATTGCTTTGCCATAGCACATCCAACATGCTCTTAATTTACCTCAATTTTTGATATTACGTTTTTATTATATTTCATTGCTTATTTAAGAGAATGCATTTAACGGCATGAAGTTTAATACATGTTTTGTTGGCAGCGGGTTATCTTATTCTTCGAGGGTTAGGTTAGATTTTTTAGTTTTTGTTTTGTAGATGTCCCCAGATAGTTTGGTTAGGGCTAATCACGATGATAATAGCATTGTAAAGACCCTGCGCCTTTTCCCTTGATTTTATTAATAATGTATCCTGCATGCCATGTTGCATATGACTGGAGGATACCTGTTTGGTTAAATTTTATGCATGTACTTTAGGGTTTAGGGTTAACCTTCTTGGTGTTGGACTCTGATTAAACCTTAAATATATATTTATGATAAATTTCTTTGGGTAGGTATTGAGGAAACTTTTGGTTGACCTTCTTGGCTTTGGACTCTGATTTTTTTTTTTTGCTTTTTCAGTCTAACTTGAGATATGTTACATTATTCGGATCACGTTTTGTTAAATAAATTAATAAAGATGGTTTGAGCACGTTCAACTGGTAGCATATTGTCATCAGGGAGCTATGATTAATAATAATGTACCAATGAGGAATATATAGGCAAATGCTATCTTCATTAAGAATTTTTCAAAACTAGTTTCTGTTCGCTGTAATAAATGGCTCTCAAATTTATTTATAAAGTCTAATCTTGATAGTTATTTTGTAAGATAACAATGTTGCTGATTAATACACTTTCTCCTTTTATCTGAAATCAATTTTTTGATCTGCTCTCTTAATGATAAGCAAATTGTTATATTTTCATATTTGACTTTAAGATGCTTATGAAATATTAATTCGTGCCTTTTTTTATTCTAATTTTCCTTGGGGATTTTGAATCTTGATTTGATGGATCTCCTGCTTCTTTATTTTGGTTGTGTTTTGTATATCTTCTATCCTAGCAGGCGGGGCCTTTTTTTTAAAAAAAAACTTATTCTCACATGAAAGCCTTCAAAGAATAAATTTTAAGCCTGTGAAGCACAAAGAATATTTTATTCATGAATCGAAAGTTCTAAGTTTGGTTTATTTATTTATTTATTTATTTATTTATGTTTTGGTGGTAGAGGAATAAGTTAGCATTAACAATTTTACTGTAACAGTTATTGAAACATGAAACCTAGCACACTTCTCATTCTGAATTTTCATATTATTTTGTAGTTCAGTCAGATAATATGTGGAGAAGGGCACCCTTTCTCTTTCTTTATTTCAAAATTTTCTTGTGCCTTATTTCTTTCTGTATCTAATTTGCTTTATAAACTTCCTCACTATTGCTTGCACTTGCATTAACTAATTCCATCAATCTCCTGTTTTTTTTACTTAAAAATATAATATTTGAAATCTAGCCAGTGTCTTAAAGAAAATCTAATTTGTCTCCCTATTTATGCAGTTTTGTATTTTTGTTTGTTCCCTGGTATTTTTTGGAGAAACAGGGAATGGAGCTTTCACAGATACAATTTAATTTCTGGATATTTTTCACAAATGCACTTTGTGCATTCGCTTTGAATTTCTCCATATTTCTAGTAATTGGTAGAACTGGAGCTGTCACAATCCGAGTAGCAGGAGTTCTGAAAGATTGGATATTAATCGCTCTTTCTACAGTTGTGTTTCCGGAATCTACTATCACTGGTCTCAATATTATTGGCTATGCTGTGGGTAATATGCTTATACTTTTATTTGCTCAACTATACATCAAATATTGACAAGACGGAGCAACTCATTTATGTGATTACTTTTTCCCAGCCCTTTCCGGCGTTCTGATATATAACTATTTGAAAGTGAAAGATGTTGCAGCATCCAATCAACTTCCCGCAGAAAATATCCCCGAAAGAGCAACAAAGGTAAAGTATTGCATCATTATTCTAAATAATTTTAGCTAATTGGTTTGCATTCAATTTGAAACCTTAAATCTCTTTATTTTGCACTTTGATTCCCTTTTGTGAATTATTTTGGTGTCGGTCAAAATTATACTAAACAGCTTCAGCGTTTAAAACCTCAATTTCCTTTTCATTTTGATTTTTTTATTTTTTATAACTCAGAAACTAGTGAAAAGAGAAAGTTCAAAACAGATGTTGACAAACGATTAAACAAGCAAATGGAAATGCTTTTTATCCAGTAGGCCTTCATTAAATAAGGGCAGATTGAAAGCTAGCATTATCATTAATTCCTATTAAAAGAACATGCGTATCCAAATTGTTCCAAGGTAATAAGGCCTGCCTATTAGATCGACAAATGCCATCTCATTGTTCTAAAATCTCTCCCTCTCACTTGCGAGTCTTTTGACCTTAAATCTCTATTGTATGAACTAATATCTTACAATTTAAATTCTATCATCAACAATCACAACTTTCATAGTTCAATCAATTCTGGGATGGATTAAGATATTTTCTTCAACGTTAGTATATCTTACTTATTTTATGTTCTCCACTCTGCTTGATTCTTATAGCATATTTATTGGTGTATAATATTGGGGTTAAAATGCAAGAATCATACAAAATTTTTTTGCGATAACTGAAAGTGATTCTTGAAGAGCGAGTCATTTGTGTATAATCTTTGGATGTCAGAACACGAGAATTATGCAAAACGTTTTAATCAGAATTCAGATCTGATATTTTCAGTAGAAATGGGTAAATGTAAGCTTGGCATTTTCTCGTCTAACACGTGTATTTCCTATGGCTTTGTGAATTGTGGTTTAAGATATTTGCAATCAAACTTAATAAAATATATGAAGAGGAAAATTGATTTGAATTTTATATTTCATAGAGGACCATGCACGTTTCTTTTCTTGGTAAGGTAGGCGTTTCGACCTGGCTCTATAGGTTTCTATACTTTATTTTAACTAGCGTGCACCATATTTGAGCAGAGTCACACTTATTTATTCTTAAAAAATTTAGTGCATATTGGGTAATTTTTAGCATAAAAACTACTAACTATGAAGTGATTACATTTCAATATTTCTCGGATAGATTAGCTTTGTTTCTATAGATGCATATTTATATAAGGGAAGATATCTTCAGCTTGCAAGCATTGAATAAAACCAAAATTTGATAGTGAACTGCGCCCATGGTCCATGGATTGTAGACTTGGGTCGATAGCTTGCAATCTCACTGATTGCAGGGATCATCAACACTGCTCCTCAAGATTTAGAGTAAATATTTTTCACACCTAATTTGTTGGTGATATTAAATTACAGAGAGCTTGATAGTCAATTGCTTATGTGTTTGGACATATTTATGATATATTTCAGTTCATCTTCTAGTTTTTTTTTGATGAAGTGCTAATCAATTTCTACATGTTTAGTTTTCATGTTGGCTTGGGTTAGGTGCGATATCGTTGGCTTATTTTTTGTTTGGGTACAGATTCATTGGATCTAAAACAGTTGATTTTTTGGGCATTTCTTTCAAATGTAGCTTCAAACACTTTTTTGGTGATTGCTAACATCTCCCTGCCTATACAATTAATTAGATTTTCACTTAGGAAAGTGTAGGTAGTAGATTTTCAGTTTGACAAATATCGGCCAATCAACATCTGGTTATGCTTGTAAGCCTTTGCTATGTAACAATGCCTTTTTTATCTACTTTTGTATGCACTACTTGAGGTTGGATATATGCCAATGATAGCGCACAAGTCTCTTCCTAATCAATTCTGTAAGCGAGTGTAACTTTTTGCAACGAATCCAGAGTTATACTTTTTGATTGCATTGTATTGAACCATATATATTTGTTCTCTTGTGTGTTCTGATGATTATTTGTTCACATATTTTGCAGGATTGGAAGTCGGACAAATGATCATCATCTGGCATATTAAACAAATGATGATAACAATAAGAATAACATCATCTTAGGGATCCGCCTCCGCCTCCGCTTTGGAGATTGCTTCTTATAAATTCTTTTGCTTCTTTTGGCGTCGAAAGTTCTCAATTTTCTTTTGGCGTCCTGATTTTTGGCATCTTTGACGCTGCCCTCTATTGTCTGATTGTTTTGAATTCACTAAACATATTAGTTCATAATACCAAATACAATAGGGAATCAGCTGACCACATACTTCACCTCTTCGATCAAATAAATGCGTTCTTTGTTGCAGCTTAAACTCAAACCAACAATTGGAATGAAAATTTAAGTTCCGAGTATGATTTAAATTTATTTTGTTTGTTTTGATGCGAATATTTTGACAACATTGAAAGTTAGATTTAGTATATAATTATTTTAAAAATTGAATTTTCTTTTAGTTTTTTTTTTTTAGTAAAATAGAAATATAAAAAATATAAAATTAATGAAAGGTTGAATCAGAATCTTATTTTTATCAAAGTAATGATAATATAAAATGAATTTAATAGGAGAATGGTAAGACTTGATGAATTAATTGAAGCTTGAAAAGAACATCAAAATTAAGTTTTAAAAAGTTAGTTTCGTCAACATTAATTTAATAAAATTCAATTCGATGAAAGTCACTTTCAAAACTTAAAACCTGCAAGGCAAGTCAACTTAGCCCTTTATGAATATCGTTTTTGGGAGGACAAATTTATGATGTATAAATGTTAGAAAGTTATATGATCATTTAATAAAATGAATAAATTGAAAATTTAATTATTTGGTGCATGTTGTCGATTAAATAATTAAAGGTTTCCATTTAAATTAGCCAAAAGTAAGTAAAATAAAAGGAGAAATGCTTTGGCAACTTGCTTTGACAGACGAATCAAACGTTCATCGTAATCCTCGTGGGTCTCTAATTTGCGTGGTAAAATATATATGAATTAATTATTAATTTTGTTCAACGTAGTATTAAAAAAAAAAAGAACTTTCTAGTCATTTCTTTAGTTTAACATGACGTGATTCATTTATTTATTATGGAGGTATGGGTTTCAAAATATATTTTATTAGATATTATAGAAATTATTGTTAAAAAAATTTGCATTACATCATTTACAAATAAACCCTTAGACTTCTTCTATTTACAAATAAAACCCTACATAATATATAAATCTCAACACTCTTCCTCAAGATTTGTGAAAGATATTCATTAAGCCCATCTTGTGACATAATCTATTTAACTCCATTGATCTGATTAGTGAGGCGGTTTGCCACCTACTCTTCAATAGCTACATGACTTCATTACGACAATCCGTTATTCAGTTCTCCTTGATGGAGATTCTTTCAATATCCACATGTTTACTTCTATAGTGTTGCACCACACATTCATTTGAGTTCCCTAATCCGCTTTGACTTCAACCAACAAGGTTTTCAGTTACATCATCTCAGCAACTTCTAATGCCATGGCTCTGTACTCTGCCTCAGCAGTTGATCTTACTGCAATCGACAATTTTTTGCACTTCCACGAGACCACGTTGCCACGTACAAACATGCAATATTCTAATGTGGATCTTCAGTCCTCAGCACAACTTGTCCAATCATAATCAGAATAGCCATCAACATCGACATGCTCATTCTTCCTGAATATCAACCATTTCCTTGGAGCACTCTTTAGATACCTCAGAATTAGATACACTTTTTCTAATGACTCTTCCTTGGATCATGCATGTAATGACTCAGCACACTTGCTGTAAAAGAAATATCGGGTTGAGTGTCGCACAAATAGATTAGACGACCCACCAGACTCTAGTATATTTCACGATCAACTGATTCACCTGTCTCTGCACTGAGCTTGACCTTCTAATCAATTGGAGAGACTACAAGTTTGTACCCCCACATACCTATCTCTGTGAAAAGATCCAGTACATATTTTCTTTGAGATAGAATCATCGCTTCATGTCCATGAGCCACTTCAATCCTAAGAAAGTATCCAAGCTGTCTCAGATTCATTACCTTAAATTGCTTCCCCAATCTTCCATTCAATTGAGTAATCTCCACCTCATCATCACTAGTGATAATTATGTCATCCACATACACAACAAGTATAATAGTGTGACTTCATGTTGTCAAAAGAACACTGTGTGATCTGTCTTGATTTACCGGTATCCCATGCTGACCATGGTCATTCTAAACTTGTAAAACCAGGCTAGAGGAAAGTACTTCAAGCCATATAATTACTTCCTTAGGCTACACACCTTGCCCACTATCTGAGATGTACTAAATCCTGGTGGTATCTCCATATATACATATATACCTCCTTTAGTAGCTGCCCATGAAAAAAAAACATTCTTCACATCAAGTTGGTGGAGTTTCCATCCACCATTCACTGTCAGAGAAGCTGGTGTCCTCACTGTCCTTATCTTTGCTACTGGTGCAAATGTTTCATCATATTTAATGTCATATGTCAGACTGTACCAATTTGCCACTCGTCGTGTTTTGTACCTCTTCCCTTCTTGAGTTTGTTTTACTTTGAAGATCCACTTGCATCCAGTTGTCTTCTTTCCTACTTGTAGTGGTTCTCTCATGTTCATTGTTTATCAAGAGCTCCAAGCTCTTCAAGCATCGTCGCTTTCCACTTGGGATCCTCTTTAGAAACTTGCCAACACTTGGACATAGGGATGTAGTCTAATGTTGCACTGAATGCTTCATGCAAAGATGCGATTCTAGAATAAGAAATAAAATTTGCAATTCAAAACGACCAAGAGGATGCCTTGCATTGCTGCGGGCGGCCCTCCTTAACATTGGAGAGAGGGGGGGGGGGGGGGGGGGGAATGGAGGAGGAATAATATCACATGGGAGTTTTGAATCAAAGGCAAACGGTGTAGGTGTCTCAAGAGTTGAGGAAGAACGAGACAATGGACTTGTTGGCACTGCAGACTCTATTCTCTTAGCATGACTTCAATCTGAATGTCACCACCACTGGTGTCAATCTTCTCGATTTCTATCTATTTAGTTGATTCATTTCACATCACATGACTTGGAGTTTCTCCCACTTGCACCAGTCCAGCACCGCTTCCACTCACTCTCTCTTGCCTTATATCTCTAGTGGTTCTTGAGTCACCGAAGGGTGAATTCACCACTAAGGTGTAGTATTGTTCAAACTTCAAACTCCCCGAATGACACATCCATGCTTACAACGAGTCTCTTCTTAATCAAGTTCGAACATGCATAACACTACTGAGTAACAAAATACCCCATGAACATACACTTCACAGCTCTGGAATCCAACTTCCCTACATATGACCTTTAGTGATTCACAAAGCTTCAATGAAAGGATCCCACTATTTTATCCTTTCAACATATGAAAAGAAGATTTCCACTCCAGCACTCTTGAGGGCATCCTGTTAATTAATTGAGCGGCTTTCAACCATGCTTGCCCCTATAAATGCTGTGGGACATGCATTACCATCATCATGCTCCGAGCTACCTCTAGAAGATGCCTATTCTTCTTCTTTACCACTCCATTTTGTGCTGGTGTGTATAAGCATGTGGTTTGATGTTGTATCCCTCGTGCTGAAAGATAGTCCCCAAATGCTTTGTTGATATATTTTGTCACATTAATCAAATATTATTGCCTTCATAAGTGTCCTATATTAGCTATGGATTGCCTTGTGAAAATCCTTAAAGCAAGTAACCATCTCCTCCTCTACTTCATCAAGTATATCTAGTTAACGCAAGAAAATCAATCAATAAACATAACAAAATAACAATAAACATTCATTGAACTAGTAGGAGAAGGTCCTCATACATCAAAATGTATCAATTCAAACACGTCAGAGCTCCTATTCTAAGAACTGACATAAAAACTCCTATTGAGCTTGCCAAACTCACAAGGTTCACACGTCTGTTTTTCCTTATTTGTCTTTTCATACATAGATGGATACAACCGACTTAAAAAACTAAGGCTAGATTGACTTGTACATCTATGATGTAGTTGTACCACATCCTCAACATTCCTTCCAAATTATCCTATTGCAACACTTTCCATCATGAATGTCTGGGATGAGTCCATCCCCTCTCGGTCCAAGTACCAACGTCCGTTATGTCACATTCCAGTCCCAAGTGTCAAGATCAACCCTTTCCCTTTGAAGATCACCCGAGAAATATCAAAAGAAATAATGCATTTTAACTAGTGAATGATGATATTAATGGATTAGAGGTTTACTGGAAAAGAAGGAGCATGCCAAATATTAGAAAAAGTCATTTGATTGGTACATCTCACTGTACCATTACCAACTACAAGCTATGTTGTACCATCAACAAATTGTATACTCTTTGGCAATGCTAGATGAGTAAATGAAGAGAACACTCCAATGGTACCTGTCACGTGACGAGAAACACCAAAATCTATGATCCATTCTAATGATCCCGTGGTGGAAATAGAGGCAAGAGTAAGTGTGTCACTAATACCTTTATTAAAGTGAGTATAAATGACAATGTTACCCCTTGATGTCTATGGATTTGAAATATCATCAACTCCATCTTCTGCTGCTTTCTGCTTCCTCTTCAACGGCTCCAATAACATGTTTTCCTTCTCGGTAAAGACAGCTGCTATCTCTCTCTCATCCTCTGCTACCATTATATTTGTCTGAAAGCCACCTCTTCTACCTAATTGGCCTCCACGACTACAACCAAGTCCTCTAGAATATCAACGTCCACTTGTTTCTCTCTTTGGGTGCTTTGGACAAGCTTTGCTTAGGTGTCTCACTTCTCCACAGCTGTAACACTTTTGGGTCTTTCCATGAATATTAGTCATACCAGAGCTTGAGGCAGCTAAAGCTTATTACGTACCTGGAAGTCCCACTCAACTCAGAGTGTAGGCTCATGCGACTCTCCTCCTGTATCATCATCGCGACAATGGCCTCATCTAGTTTCAAAATTGTTGCCTGGGCTAGGAGAATTGATCTTCTCTGATCAAAGGTCGGGTTCAAGTGCCTAGAAACTACATAATCATCATCTATGCAAAGATCTCCCCCTTCTTGTACCCCATATCACCACATCTTGACATAGGTGAATAGTGATCAAGACCTTGACGCTCCAGCTCTATGGAGTACTCCTGAATCAATCTATCACATTGAACCACTGTCTCTATATCACGGTGAATCTGAAACTCCCTAATGTAATTCTCAGCTTCAACATAGTTCTTCTTTAGCTTTGCCCATATGTCACTCACCTTACGAATGCCATCCACTGATGAGGAAATCGAAGGAACCATCAAATTAAGTAGCCAGGTGTAAATCAGTGCATATGTGGTCCTTCACTTATCCCCTTCAACACTATCATTCTTTGGCTCGACCTCATTGGTTATTCTTGTAGTCTCTTCCGTACTAGAGCATCCTTGATCCAATGCGTTCCACTCGGATAAGTAGCCAGTCCATCAAGCTTCATATCCATAAGAGGGAGATCTAGCTTTACATGCATCAGAGCATGTGGTGAGGTAGTGACTCTCGTTGAGACACTAACTCCCTGTATAAGTCCCAACAAGACCTTCAAAACCTCAGGATATATTTCTCCCAGAAACTCCAATTCTTTACCTCCCGCAGTAATATCTCTATCTCCTAATATCCTCAATCACAAGGATCTAAGCCTAGATTACACATATCAGATGCAATCCTGTCGTTGCCTTTCCAGTTTGCTCTAATCGAAACTATATCACCACGATCCCGTTGGAGACTCCAATCACCGCTGTGTCGATATATTGCGAAGCTCCTAAGTTGTGATCCCGTCCCGGTTTGTGATTCAGTAGCGGTCGTATCACGATCTTCTCGCGATACTGTATTGTGGAGCTCCTAAGTTAGGATCCCGTCGTTGCCTTCCTGGTTTGTGCATTCAGTTGCGGCTATGTCACGGTCTTCTCGTTGTAACACGATCCTCCTAGCAACCCTTCCCACTATCCCGTCTCGTGCAATGATGTCGTTCCATCCCGCGCAACGAGCTGCATCACGATCCTTCCAACCGCACACTCCCATTCCACACGGTCCCGTCCCTGGTACGCACAACCTTGCACAACCAACTGCTAGGATTAGCGCTGAAACTTTAATACCATATATAAATTATTGCTAAAAAATCTTCTTCATTTCAGTAACACTTCCATTTATATAGAGCCTAATAACATTTAAGAATAAACCCGAGTTCTTCTATTTATAAATAAAACTCTACATTAGATGCTAATCTCAATTATTTTAACAACTTAATTACTAGAATAAAGGCTCATGTGCCCAAAAAGTGATGCTTACATTAAGCTAGAGACTATTTGCAAATCTTAGAATAACACTGAGCCCACTTCTAAATTAGTTATAATAAAACAAAGAATATTATGTGCTCGGGCATTAAAAGAACCTTTAACCCTTTCATATGCTCAGATTATAATTACAGCAAGAGAGTCATTAATGGGAGAATCATTATGAGCTCAAGGCTTCGTTAACTTAGGCGCGCGAAGTTTTACCTGCGACGTGGCTCCACGCCGTTCATCCTTTTCGGAAGAAGCATAATAAAACACAAAATGGTTTTCAATAGTTAAATTCTACCAAACGCGACCATTCGTCTTCTTCCCCCAGCATGCGCTTAAACCTTTATATGAGCTAAGCCGTCTCCTTAAATCTCCCCATTTCCACAATAGTACAAATCAGCCATGGCACAAGCAAATTCCAAAATCACTCTCAAGCTACTCATCGATGCTCGTAGCAACAAAGTACTCTTCGGCGAGGCTGGTAAGGAGTTCATAGACTTTCTATTCAGCCTTCTCACACTACCACTTGGCTCTGTCATCAAGCTCCTCTCCCCTCCCAAGATGATTGGATCCATCGGAAAGCTTTATCAAAGCGTTGAAAATCTCAGCGACACCTATCTCTTTGCAAACAGTGACAAATCTACTCTGCTTCAGCCCAAAGTCTCCACATTTAATGTCGCAAGTCCTCTGCTTCTTGGCGCCGAACCCGTTACAGAACAAAAGTACTACATCTGTACTAGTTGCGATGATAGAATAACCAATAAGAGTAATATCATGTGCCCACACTGCAAGCGGGTGATGTCTGATGAAATCGAGTTTGTGGCGCCATACATGAATCATTCACGTTCTTCTGGAGTGAATAAAGGACAGATTGCTAAAGGCTTTGTAAAGCAGGTGATCACTTATATGATTACAGACGATTTGGAAGTAACACCAATCTCTGCAATTTCCAGCGTCACTTTAATCAATCGCTTTAGCATGAACAAGGACGTCCAACTAGAGGAAAAAGTGGTCGACATCGGCATGGAAGAGGTTAGTTTCTTAACATCCGGCTGAATTTTCTCTTAGAAAATCCTAAGTTTTCACTGCTTAACTATATGTTATTGAGTTTTTATATTTGTTTTAGGGACTTGCTTTGCTGAGGGCATCATTGGATTCTCCCACTGTGCTGACTGATGTTTTCTGTTCATCCAATAAGAGAGCAAAAGCTTCTTCGTCTTCTGCAGGGAAAAAAATTGCGTGTAAGCAGCGCTGAGAGAACGATGTAGGGATTAGTATTTAATCCATCCCGATATTATGCGTATTTTGCTGCAAAAGCTTCTTTTGTTTCAGGGTTGCTAATATGTAAATGCTTCAAGGGGCAATGCTGATTTGCCTGCTGATCGATGCCTATATGCCTTTAATGCACAATCTTAATTATATAATTATCTTTTGTACCTAAATTATTTGTTTAATGTGCAGTCAACTAGCTAGCGCATCATCTCCTTATGAACAATTATAGCATTTTTATGTTTATTTTGGGGGAAAATCTCATACAATCTATCTCTAAGGCTGGTTTTGCACTTTCTTTTTCTCTTTTTATTCCTCTGCTTCAGTCATTAGTGGTGTTTGATTGCATGTTATTAATAGGATTTAATCTAAATTCAGTCAAACATAAATAATAATAATAAAATATTAATTCAAATGCTTCTTTAAATCGAATTCTCTATTTCCGTTGGTAAATCTCATTGCAAAATAAATTTATTCCGCCGTCGCATTCGAGCTCCTTTTTATACAATTAGATTTTATATGTGATTTGATTAATCTTATTTAACTTAAACAAAGTTGAAGCTAACACGGCCTCAGGTTCTCTATATGAAATTATTTCAAAGATTTACGTGCATACTAAGTTTTTATGTGTTTACACCGGATCTCTTTATTCGTAAGGCCTTGGGTGGATCTTGTCGCTGCCTATGAGAGGTATTCAACGAGACTTGCTGTCGCTCTGCGAATCTTGCCACTACCGAACGGGGAATCATCTTCTGAGCTTGGACCTACCTCGAGCTGGGAGAAGTAGTTTCTCATGCTCGATATTGAATATTCAGTTGATTGCTTACCTCAAATGGTAATTCTTTTATCTCAGTCTTTTGTTCTCTTTGAGATTTGTGCCGCTATTTATGGTGTATATATTACTTTCTCAAGTTTTCTTGCTTTTTAATAGTGACAACTAAAATAAGGATAGAAAAATGTATTAATTAATCGTTAGCATTAAAAGCGCGAATTGATTGAACATTTGACTTTGCTTTGGATTCTGTGCCCCGTGTGTTTTATAAATGTTCATGAATTGAGCCTTCTATCATTAGTTGTCAGTTTCCTTTTTTACAACCAAGGAGCGATATGACTGTAAGTTCAAGCTGAATTATTGTGGATCCTCGGAGGCTGGAAAAGGCGGGAGTTTTTAGATCTCTTCCTCCACAAAGAGGAAGAAAGTGGTGACGAAGGAAAAACTGGTAAGGGCCGAGCCTAATTTGGTAGACGTAGTCGACTCATCTGATAACACTGAAGGTCAGTAACTGAGGAGGCCTTACCAAGAGGTTTTGGAGTCTGGTCTGGACTTGAACATTGAGGGCCAGGTGATCTTTCCGGCTGAGGCGAGTGGAAAGGAGCTGCAAGGAGCGATTGTCTCCACCCTTCTCAGCTGCTGCTACAGGAAAGCAGAGGCACCACAACGCAAAAGGGATAAAGGACATTTATACTCTCTCTTCCCTAAACTCAGACATTATAAAGGAGGTCCAAGCAAAGGCGGAGAAGGACCTTTAAACTCTCTCTTCCCTAGACTCAGACATTATAAAGGAGGTTCGAGCAAAGGCGACAAATGAAAAGCTGACAGTCTAGAGTCATAAGCAGAAATGTCTCAAGGAATAAGGTAATGTTGTAGGGGACGAGGACCTGCCTCCTGCCAACGTGGCCTCGAGATACCTTGCTTCTACGTTTGTTCATAACATTGTTGTTCAAGATAATGTGGCCAGTAGGGTAGATGCTATTGCCCGAAAATGTGCTTCTTATTCTGTTGATGTAGGGGAAAAAAACGAGATAGCTTCTGTCTCTAAGAGAATCCCAGATGAGACTGCTGCCGTAGACCCTTCTTCGAGAGTAGGCGTGCCATCTGGCTTGTTGATGGGTGTCAGCTTCCACCGGACTCACGAGTTGGGGCTCCTCCGTCTTTCGACACTTTGTTTGAGACAAAGTCGGTCTGACCACTCCCACTGCTTTGAACAATTTCTCGTCGAGAACATCAATCTCGACTGGCGGCAATCAGGCCTCATCCTCCCCTAAGAGGGTAGTGATACGTCTGCGCGGGAAGGAGCCGATGGAGGATATAAAGGTCCCACGTACTCCTCGCTTAAAGAGGAGCAATGAGGTTTTTGAGTGGGAACCCGTGCATAAGAGAGCCAGAAAGATATGGTTGGGGGCCGACGAAAAGTTTGGCCTGATGGATTGGTTCCTGCCGACGGTGGAGAGCAGAGATCTACCCCTGACCTTGTTGGATCTGTCATGGTCTGTAGAGCTTGGTCGTAACTTTGGGGATTTTCGCTATCGGGACCTTCTTTGGAACACTGGTCTAGCTGACTCAGAGCGCTCATTTTTTAGGGCTGGTTGTGCTCGAGCTGGAAAAATCATTAGATGGAGCTTGAATGAAAGAGGCCTCCCTGGAGGATGACCTGAAGAGGATTCGAGATGATTGAGACCCTTTACAGGTCAGGTTTGATGAATCTGAGATGATCAACAAGATCCCAAGGCATTATAGTAGACTTGGAGAATAAGTTGCTAAGCTGGAGAAGGTTGCCTCATCAGTTACTAGGGAGGAGTTGAAGTTGCTAAGCTGGAGGAGAAGGTTGCCTCATCAGTTACTAGGGAGGAGTTTAAAGCGGAAATATGAATCATTTTCCGGATTGCGTCATTCAATCAGACGATATTTAATGAACATTTGAATTCTTTAATGATACCAGAATTGAGTGATATTGAGCTTGTTGGATTTGATATCAAAATGTTAAAATATCTTCGGTGTTATTTCTTTATTTTGCATCCTTTACTTGAGGACATGGTGCAACCTCCTGTTTCTCTTTTTTTGCTTCAGACGTTTTCTTCTGTATTGTTGCGGGCAGTTGTTTGTATGTGTGTGGGGTTCATCATACTTCATATTTTGTGTAGGAATGCATATTTTCTATGCAATATATTTGTTTTCAGCTCATTTAATAATGCTTCTTTATTTTGCAATTAAATTTGACTTCGGTGAAATATTCAATATTTTTTAAGAGAACAAGGGGGTACTCATTGACTATTTTAAAATAAATTTTGCAAATTTTTTTTAATATAACAATAATAATATAATGTGTCTAAAAATTATGATATCTACTAGTATTAATTTTTAATAAAGTTAATATAATTAATTATCATGATATTAATATTATCACTTATTATCATCATAATGAAACAAGTAAAAATTTTAGAAATTTAAAAAATACAATTTAAAAAATTTAATCTAAACATAAACAATATCTTAATAACACATAAAATAAAAAAAGATTCATCTAGCCTATCCTATAAGGGGAGAGACTTCTTATTCTTGTGGACCTCTGAGCTTTCACAAAATGCTCAAATTTAATTGTTTTACTGGTTTAAATAAACTAGTTCGAGTTGTTCAACAAATACGTTGGTATATTAACAATCATATATACACACAACTCAAATCTTATGTATTTATGTTAAACTCATAAACTTCAATTTTATATACATATTATTATATTTGTATTTTGCTGAATTCAAATTCGTCTTATGAGGCATGCGTGATGATTGGTGGTGTAGAGATCTTGAGGGAAAAAAAAAAAAAAAAAAAAAAAAAAAAAAAAAGAAACAAATAACACACATAGATTTGTCCCGTAAAGGTGAATTGATGTATTCTCAGACTCTTTGACTCTATTTATATATCAAAAGTAAAAAGTAATATTGAGAAAGCGAAAGAGTTCTCACTACGTAGAAAAAATCAAGAGAAAATAACCCACTTTTTACATATCATGTGTTCTTTATTTATAGAAAAAAGAGGTACCAAGTTTAAAATTACATAATTGCCCTACTTTAATGAGGAAATTAAGGATTATTATTATCTTTTTATTAATCTCCCGTTTTAATTGGAGAGTTAGATGTCTTTAAGATATATTTTTATAATCTCCTCTTTAATAGTAGTGTTAGACATAATTATGATAATTTTTTTATATTGATAACTAATTTTTAATATCTTCTCCTTATCAAAAGTTTTATCGGATCCATTAAGAATTTATTTGGGACAACTGTTGATTATTTATAATCTGCTGATAAACAGATTATTTTGATGATCTGATAATCTGCAAATTATCATAATAAGCTGGTTTCCTGTTTGAGGCAGCTTATTCAGAACAGTTTACTGGGAGGTGTTGTTAGATAAATGACCATTCTGCCCCTATTTGGTTGTGTTGTTAGATAAATGATCATTCTGCCCCTGTTTGGTTAAGTTATTTGCAACAGAACTAAAATTAGAACAAAAATATATAATACATAACCCAGAAAACTTCACAGATCAGTTCAAAAGATAACATACAGTACTCACACTCTCGTGAGTATCTGAAGAAAAAAAAAAACAATTGACAGATCCAGAAAAACCAGAAAAAAAAACAACAAAAAATGTGCAGACGAAAATTAACATATAATGTACGAAATAAAGAAGACTTGGTGGATCAGCTGCCATAGATAACATCTGCGATTAACTCCCTCAAAGCAGTCATCTCAGCCACACCCTCAACGTCATGAATCCCAAATTCGTTAGAGTCAATCTCGTCCTCATGGACTGAAAGCCCAACCACAAATGCTGATAGTTCTTCAAAGAAATTCAGTCAATCGTTACTGACCATACTAAAGTCCGTATCTGAACGTGAAGGGTGTCGTCAGATGAACTTATGAAGTGTCATTGTTGTCATCACAATATGCATTTGCTTTTGAAATAGATACGACGACATATCACGTAAGATAACCCATTTCTTCTTCCAAACCCCAAAAGTTCTTTCAATGACGCCTCGCAAAGAAGAGCGTATAGAGGAACGACGTTTGTTAAAATTTCTTTCCTGCCACGAATGGTGCCACTTGCACGCTCAAAATCAGGAATATGTTAACTAGTGTCTGGATATGAATAATTTTTGTAATAAAAGATAGATAACTTGCTAAATTTGTTTGAAGGGATCATAAATTTATTTCCACCTAAATTCCAAATATATAAAGAGCCAATGAGAAGAAGAAATTATAAAATAGTCACACCTGTTTCTAATTTTAGTCTAATTATTCCTTGTTGCAAATATACATGGAATTGATGTTAGCCTTTTAACTACAAGTAGTGGAAAATCTTGGAAAGAATCTTTAATTTTTGAAGAAAAATGAATTTCACAAAGAAATTGTATTTAAAGAAGGCCCGGTTTTGTTAGCTCAGAACCATTCTCCACGAAATGATTAAAGAGAAATTTACATGTGCGGCACAAGATTCTTATGTATTCACTAAACTCACACCAACTTTACTTCTACGGCAAGGATTGCAGGGGAAATAAATTAGAAAAGATGGAAATTCAAGGATCATAGAGGAAAGAAATCAGAAAGGAAAATCAAAATGCTAGGCTCGCGTGAAGTAAGGAGAGAGATATCGGTATACCTTGGGCCGATCCTGGAATGGCGAACCAAGTAAGAAGAAGAGCGGAGGAGATCAATTCTCCTGGAAAGGGCGAGCGCCGAGAGAGATCTGCGAGGCGAGTCGAGGGATCTGTGATTCTTCCTGCGAAGGAGCGGAGGAGATCGAGGGAGATCTGCAATTCTCCTTTCCACGAGCAGAGCGAGGCGGCGATTCTTCCGATTGAGGGAGATCTACGACCATTCTCCTAGGGGTACCCGAGCTAGCCAAGGGATCTGCGAGGCGAGGCAGCAATTTTCCGACGGAGGGCGAGGGAGATCTGTGGGGCAACACATGAATTCTTT